GTCGCATCGATTAGTTCCATTTATTATACTACTCGCCATTTTTCTCAAATTTTGAGGTGGCAATCCTGATATGAGGAGACTAAAGAATACTCTTAACAATTCTTACAAAAAAATTCAACGTAATAAAGGCTTTATTTTTTTCAGAGGATACATACAGCATTCGATACTGACATCAAAACTGCACACGAATGTTACACTGGGAAAAAAAAACACATTGGATCTAGAGTCCAGACTCTTGAAAGCATTGACAAGAAAAAATACTCTTGATTAAATCGGATTTTTGCTTGAATCAAAACGAAATCCGCTTAAATTAAGAGGCTTAGTTCTTGATTTAAGCTAGATTCTGATTGAATCAAGAGTACTTTTTCTAGTCGATATTTTCAAGAGTCTGGACTCTAGATTCAATGTGTTTTTTCCAGTGTACATTTTTCCTATAAAAATACCACGTCCTCATAACATTAAATTTGTCAGTCACAATTGGTAAATGAATTCTTCGGTCTCCTAACAACAAAATTGTGATCTCCGAATTCGAGAAAAATGACGAGTAACTGAAAAAAATGGAACTGATAGATGCGAAACATCGCATGTCGTTCTGATAGAAAATATGGCGTTCCCTCGAATCTTCTTCAATTATTTGCACTGAGCTTTGGATAATCCGAACTCCTACTTGGGAGAGCTGGCAGATAAAATGGCCCAGTAAAAGGACTGTTCGTTAGCATCCGAAAATCACTGAAGCGCCTTCGATACAGGAAAAGCCAACTGTTCCGGATAATCTCGGTCTCCGTGGGTGACGAGCGTGGAGTTCGCCTCTGAGTAAATGGCGAGTGTAAACGTTTTCTGTGCTGTGTTGCTGTTGTTTGTCATTGCTGTCATATTATTTTACCAAAAGTTCCAGGGTTTCCAGAGTTAATTCCGATGTTTAAAAGTTCCGGGAATCAATTCCACAGACGCCCGGGTTTATTCCCAAAGATTGCCAATTCGATTAGAAAAAAAAACCGTCAAATTTAATCAAATAAGCGGTCAAACTGACGAATAAAACACGAAATTCCGAGAAAATTTAGAAGATGGTTGAAAATTCCGGGAATTTTGAAGACTCCGAGTAAAGTTCTGAGAAATCGCAAAAGTTCCAAAAGTCGGAATTAATTTCGAGAGAAATAGCAGCAGTAGTCAAATTTTGTGTCCGTATTCACTACATCACGTCCTACAAGCGAACAGGACTAAAATCAGCTCGTCCGAAAACTCTCAGAATTATTATCCGAACCCGCCAACCGCCATAGGAGTTCGGTTGATCTGAAGTGCAGTGTGTTTTTAGTATTTATACCAGGGCAGAGCATTCTTAGAATGTGTCAATCATGTACACCATGAATATTCATTTTTCACTATCATATTGAAACTCAGCGATATCAGTGGTAGCCGACCGTCACATTCAAACGGTGAATCCGAGATGTAACGCATAATTTATTTTTCTCTCAGGGTAAAGTATTCTTAGTATTATCCGGGTGAGTACTCAGTTCAAAATGTAGTGTATCTTCGATTTGTCTCTTTCTCAGGGTAAACGGTACTCATAGTATGTATACTTTAGCTGTTTCATCTCTTTACGTATGTAACTTGTGGAATTTAATAGGACAATAAATCATCTGAGATTCGAAACCGTGAATTTCCGTGTCTTTATTTTTTTGCAAGCAACAAGGTACGAGGGGAGAAATAAGGGTGAGTTATGATTATCGTGCGATGTCCAAGAGGAAATTTTTTTTGACGTATACCTTATACGTACGTATACGCCCGCTCTCTAATCATTTGCTTATTTGTGAATAAGCAAGATGAGCTCCTTATGAACTTTCTGCGATCTAAAAGACGAGGGAATCCGAATGAAGGTCCCCTCGGTACTAGATTGAATAAGTTTCACTCTGTCCATAATGTAAAAGTGGTAACTAAAGCTTAGGTTAATTTCGTTTCCGATTTGCCGCGATAGCGAAAAGAGCAGTTAGTGCACTTTTGAAGGAGCCATGAGTAATATATACTTTTTAGTGTCTCGAGGTTCATCCCAACATGCACTGCTTACTGCCCTCTTCGCCATAACGGAAGCGATGGACTGTGCAAAAGCTCGAGGTTAAGGGTCAACTAAGTTAGTGCTTTGAATCAGCCTGGAGATATCTTCACCAAAAGTCTGAGGAGGCAACTATTTCGGAAATTCATTCCTCAACTTGGTCTCGAGAACATTACAAAATGTTTTTATGACACGAATGATTTGCAGCTTAACTTTCGACCCGAGTAGTTGAATTCTTCAATTCGTTCCGAATTTCCGTTTCATAAATTGGACCAGAAGTACGGGCTCCCGTCATGTTTATCAGTAATTTAAAAGTGTTAAAATAGATATTGAGCGCACTTTTATATTTGGCGCCTTTGCAACAGGAACTTGATTGAACGAGGTCTGTTTTTATTATGTATACTAGGTGTTTTCGAAGAAACAAGTAATTGATAAAAATAAAGATGTGCTAAGTATAAGCTTCGATTAATTTAATGTAATTTTATTTTCCCTTAAATTGATTCCATCCAACAAGATGATAAGAATGGACTCGGTAATCAATCAAGTATACAAATTGTCAAACCGTTTATGAATATTATCGCTGCACGAATTATGTCCGAAGTCAAGGGTAATGATGATGTTTTTATCCCAAGGATAAAATTCGACACAGGTGAAAGTACCAATTCACATTTTAACCTCCATCGACTCTAGTTTCCCATTATACTTGCATTTGCAATAATTGCAAGAACCATCAATAAATCCCAGGGACAAAGTTCCGATCATGTGCGCCACTGCGTACATCAGCCGCTTTTCAGCGACGGACAATTGGATTGCATTTTGCAATTTGGACCTATAAATTCTGGCTCATCTGAAAAAACACTTATGTGCATAAGGAAACTAATGACACATATGTTGTTTTTAAACCGGGCTAGAATTTATAGGTCCAAATTGCAAAATGCAGTCCAATTTTGTGTTGCTCTCTCGAGATGCGGATCAAAAGATTGTATTAAAATTCAAAAAAGGTTTTTCAAATTCAAAAAGAATGATTTAAGTGGTTCTGAAACTTTAATTGAAAATGAAGTTAAGCCTGAGACGTTCAACGTTTGAGCTTGCTTCATTTATTTTGTATCAGTTATTAGTTCTCTGACCCCCCTCCCCCCAAATTTCATTTTTCTACCATTTGTTCTGTTGTCCTACGAGGTTGATTTCCATGCTTTTGCAGTAGTGTACGGAGTGTAGTGTACCGTATAATTAACGTTTTGACCCTTTATGAGATAAACAAACAGATGGAAGATGCAGAATTGACAGAATGCTTGAAATACGTATCCATAGTTCGGCGCCAACTTTGAGTCTCGGAGAAAGGTAAGTTAAATTACACTTTTTTACTTAATTTTAGTATGAATTTTAGTCGAAGAAGTTATATTATATTTCAAACGGCAACCCGAGTTGGGATCCAGCGGTGCTAATAAATGATATGAGACTCGACTTCTGTCGCAACACCGCACCGCGACCGTTTTCGAATTTCCCGCTCGGAGGGAGGGGTTATGGAAGCGAGAGGGGATCGAGTGCTCGAGTGCGGCCATGTTGGGCCAAGCTAGTCAGTCGGGTCAGAGCAGCGGTATAGACCCGTGCTCACCTCCTTTTCTTTTCTTTTTTAATTTTTTGGTCCTTTTTGAGTTCAGTTATTATGTTCAGTTGTTGAACCTTTGGTTGAATACACGTTCTTGTTCGTATTTCGTATTCGTTCGTCTTCATTTCATTTCTTCGCTCTCCCGTCGCCGCACTTGCGGCAGAGCTCACACGACAACTTTCAATTGACACAATATATCGCCGCAACAAAGAAACATGTTCCCGTACAGGAGGACCCTCCGAAGGTAGCCATGGTGCAGGGCAGTGTTAGGGAAGTGAAGGCCCAGTCGAGAGGCGAACGAAGTATACGGAAGAGATAAGTACCCGAGGACAATTTCTACAAACTAGACCGTAATGCTATTTCACTGGAGATTGAAGCAGAGACAATAAAACAAACATTCTTGACGGGAAAGAAGTACGAAAGCCCAGGGCCGGATTTACCAATAGGCTACATAGGCTATAGCCTAAGGCGCAACATTCTGAGGGGCGCGCAATTTTTGAAAATTTATTCAAAAACGTATTTCCCAAAACCAACTTGCAAACGTAAACGTATCTCAAAACTGTTTAAAATCGTGCTTTTTTAAAGGTAAATTTGAACATTTTCCGGAAACCTAACATCCTCCCTCTAATCTGGAGGGGAGGGGCGCCCCCCCCCACAAGAGCGCCTACTTTTAGGGGCGCCACCCTAAGTTTAGCCTAGGGCGCTAAAAATGTAAATCCGGCCCTGCGAAAGCCGACGTCATCATCATTCAAAGAAAGGTAAGTGTTACGAAGAAACGTTATTGTCTTTTTGAACAATTCTACGATATGAATTAAAATTCCGTAGCAAATGTAAAACGTAAAAAAAACACCGTGAAACGGCTGTCGAAAGTTCCTGTTCCACTGCGTAGTTCGGAACGCTTTAAAGATGATGGATTCTGGTCAAACTGAAACCGACGCGTTCACTAAATGATTTTTCGAACATAAATGTGCAGATTCTAAAAATCCTTGCGTGTCTACCGCGAGCTACTGCACGGTGTCTTTAACAGGCTGGCCAAAAATCAGTACTTTTACAGTACTTTATCGGCACATTCCCAAGAAATTCAGTACCTTTTTCACAGAAAAATGTAGTACTTTTCAGTACCTCCATTTCACGAAAATCGAAGAATTTTAAAAATTTGAATTTCTCACTCAAATTGGGACAAAGGAGGCAAAAAAAAATAAATGAAAAAAATACCGGACCTTCTTGCGGAATTCCGCACTTTTTCAGTACTTCCGTACCGCCCTTATAATCAGTACTATTTCCGGACCTGTAAACACTAAATAAAAAAAGCTGAATAATTTTAAGATGAAAAATCCGTCTTACCGGGTCTGAGGGAAGAGGTAATGGTTCTACGGTTGTGGAGCTAGGGTGGGTTAATTGTCTAGGTAGAAATCTGGGCGAGTCTCCTGGCATGGAAACGGTTTCAGTGGACGGAATGTGCATTCCAGGGTAGGCGTGTGACTCTAGAATAAGGCACATAACAACCACAGATATTAATTTTCATCGAGCGGCTCACGGAGAAAATACAGGTGGTGGCGAACGGAGAAATGTAAAATTCTACGGTGCAGCTAGGAATGAACAATGATAAAAATATTTGTGTTCATGTGCTTATCTCGGTTAATGTACACTGAGAAAAAAACGCATTGGATCTAGAGTCCAGACTCAACTCTTGAAAACATTAACAAGAAAAAGGACACTTGATTCAATCAGATTTAAGCTTAAATCAGAAGGCATCCGCTTAAATTGAGGCTTGGTTCTCGATTTAAGCTTAAATTTGATTGAATCAAGAGTATTTTTTCTTGTCGATGTTTTTAAGAGCCTGGACTCTGGATCCAATGTGTTTTTTTTCCAAATGAAGAACATAAAATTTCAATGCTTAGGAGTCCCGAAATAGACTCGAAATTTCCGTGTTTGATCTCACTCAGTGTTCTTATGTGTTACTTGCACTGGAGAATTAAACGCTCAGTTACAAAACGAAGCGGACGTCAACACAATCAATCACACAAATCAACCTTAATTTTGTGATGATTTTGGTACAGTTTGAGGTGAATTCAGCGCAGAAAACAATGGAAGAGCTGGGAAACTTGGGTTAGTTGGTGTTTTACTTCTCACATTAACCAAAAATTTGTGTTGAGTGTTTTCTCTGCGAAGCTAACCTTTCAGTTGGACGAAGGTAGTGCGGGAAAACCGAGATCTCTCTCACATTAAAAAAAAAAAAAAAAAAAAAAAAAAAAAAAAAAAAAAACGGGGAGGATGATAGGTTTCCACTCATTTTGGCTCTAAAAACTCGTAACTATTCACTTTTTGCGTGTCATTACGTTTTCTTACCCCTCTAACTGACAATGAATTGTGAGTTAAGTTATACTTCAATTTTTGACAACTTTGTTACATTTTGTCTTGTACACCAAACACGCGAAAATTGGAGAGCCTTGGTAGGTAATAAATGTTCAATTACATGTAAGACTTTCAATGGTAGATTGAATAGTGATGTAGATCATTATACAGGTACCATCATGAAATTGATGGACAAGGAGGTGCAAGAAAATGTATCTGCATTGTAAACTGTGAAGCAGGAACTAAGAAAGTAAGTCAACTTTTCTCTGGGATTTTACTTTGTCGCTCTTTCTTAACTTCTAATTATGTTACAGCGCGCCAATTCGTGTACTTTTCTACATCACAGTCAACCTTCAAAATGGCTGCCTTGCCACCACCTCCAGTATTTTCTCTATGCAAGAAACTTTCACTCTTGGTGTTGCGAAAATATGAATTGACAGTTACACAAAATGAAAGCAAATCATGCATTTGCGTCTACAGGCCGAGTTGAACCTATGAATCATACGATTAATTTCTAAGAGATTTTTGGATGATTATAAATGATACTACGAAGCACGAAGAATGGGTTCGAAAGATTTTTTCGTCCGGACACTACCTTCTAGCTCTTTCCTCTCAAAACTTAATTTTGGCACTTACTGCGGGCTGATCACTGAAAGACAAAGCTATGAACGAAGAGAACAAGTTGAAAATGGAGCGATCCTATTGGTGGAAGCGAATGGTTGCAATGGATAGAGGACGTAAGTAATAGGCTAACTAACGGCAGCCCAAGAGAGACCCCATATAATTAGTCAATCATCTTCCCCTCGGTTTACAACAAACACCCGTTCCAACCAACAGGATCGCAACATTTTCCCAATTCCTTAATTTTCAATCGCTTGATCTATCAAAATAAATAATCAACCCGCGCTCCTCTTTAAAGAAACTCGGCGGTAATTACGTTGGCGGCGGCGCAGACTCATCACAGCTTTAAACACGACGAAAACCAAAACGCCTTCAATTTTTCGGTATGCAACACGGACATCCGTCGGACACGAATAGTTGCATCCAGGCGCCGTGTGTTAGAAGAGGAGGAACTCGAACGGGTTATCGCCGTAATGGACTACACTTTTTTACGTTGTGCTTCAAGAAGGAAGGACTTAAGATGATAATCGCTTTTGAACGAAAAAATCTATTTATCCTTTATTCATCTATGTATCCTCTAATTATCTATGTATCCTATATTAATTCCTCTGGGTCGAACATTGCGTCCAGTTAATCTTAGAACCCAGCAGTTTTCAGCCGCTTTGACACTTTGCGCTGATGTTGAATGATTGCAAAAACTTAACATCACCACAGTTCTGTCCACCAGTTTTCACGTAAGGTGCGAATCTTCAATAGTGACAGAAAAATTAGATAATCAAACAATCAATAAATCATTTTGGAATTTTACGACTGACAATCAAAAAATGCCTCCCAATGAACGTCACGAAGTGGGAGATTTCTCACTTTTAGATCCATTTGTCTTCTGTATCCTATAAGGGACCGTCCTTAAATTACGTAACACTGAATTTCCGAGTTTCGACACACCCTCCCGCTACCCTTCTGTAATGCTCCGTAACGCTGTGCTAACCCCCTTAAAAGGTTACGCAACGCTTGCCCGAACTTCCCTCCCTTTCCAAAAAAAAAAAAAAAAANAAAAAAAAAAAAAAAAAAAAAAAAAAAAAAAAAAAAAAAAAAAAAAAAAAAATCGTGAAAATATCACCATACATTTACTGAAAGAATCGGCGTTTCTATTTGGTGAGGAAAAGTGGAAGTATTGCAGGTAATATTTTCGAGATTCTTTCAAACTTCTAAAGACAACCGGCGAAACCTTCTGCGGAAATAAAAAAAAAATCACTAAAACTCGTTACGTAGCGCTTCGCTTTGTACCTCTCCGCACCCCTGCAACGCCGCGTAACGCTGGCAAAGACCCTATCCTCCCTTTCTAGCGTTACGTAATTTAGAGACGGTCCCTATCAGGATAAAATTAGGAAAAATAACGCGAACTCAGCTAGCGAAGCACTCTCATATACAGCAAGAACATTTGAGGAGCTTGGAGGGCAAGGCGCCATGATAAGTGCATTTCTTGCAATTTCGCGAAATACATGTTGGAAGTTTCAATTACATGGATCTTAATGGCGAAAAGAAAGTTCAAACTAACTTGTTGATGCTTAAAACTTGGAACTTGGGGTCAAATTCTCCATAGAATAAACATTAAGACTGTTTGTACTTGAAATCATTAGTATCTCGATTTTTTCAAAAACTGTAATTGTTGGAAGTTTCGAAATTACTTAGATCCTCATGGCGGAAAGAAAATTCAAACTGACTTTCTGATGCTTAAAAATTGGAATTCGGGATCTAATTTTTCACAGAATATGCAATAAAAGCTAAGACTTTTATTACTTGAAATCGTTAATATCTCAACTTGTTTAAGTTTCGAAATTGCATGGATCCTCAAGGCGGAAAAAAAGTTCAACCTGACTTTCTGATGCTCAACAATTGGAATTTGGGGGCGACTTTTTCACAGAAAGTGCACTATGAATAGTTTCACCTGAAATTATAAATATCCCAATTTTTCAAAAACTGCACTTGTGCGGTGTGCGCCTTGTCCTCCAAGCCCCTCATTGGTTCGTGCAAATTCTACATTGCATGGATAAGTGGTCTGTCCGGAAAGTATCAGGACTTCCTGATTATCTCGGAATGTAATGCAGATGATGAGCTGAAACTTGGGTTGGACTTTGCCCATGTCCTCTTTAATGCAGCCACACAATTGGGGCTTTCACACCTTTAACCACTCGATTGCAATCAACTGATCACAATGTGTGTATCAAGTGCTATCGTCGCGTTTTTTTTTTCGTGCAATGACCGAGCGTGAAGATCCTGGAATTTGTATTAAATTTTGCTTTAATCTAGAAAAACTGCCAAGGAGACCATGGAAATGATTCGGAAAGCTTTCGGCACTGATTCTATGAGCAAGAGCAATATTTATGAGTGGTATAATCGCTTTAAATCGGGTCGTGAAACAGTCGCTAGTGATCCGCGGTCCGGGAGACCTTCGACGACGAATTCTCCCGATAACGTGGAAACAGTTCGGGAAGCTATTGCCCAAGACAGTCGGTTAACCGTGCGGGAACTGGAAGAGCAGCTAAATATCCCGAGGACCATCGTTGCGGAAATTTTAACTGAAAAACTCGGGCTTCAGTGACTGGATGCTCCAACATGACCACGCTCCGACTCATTCCTCCTGTCTTGTGCAACAGCTTTTGGCAAAGCACGGTATTCCTCTGGTTCCACATCATCCATACAGTCCAGACTTAGCTCCTTGCGACTTCTGGCTCTTCCCAAAGCTGAAATCTCCAATGAAAGGGACTCGATTTGACTCCATCAATGACATCAAAGAGCATACGACGAGAGCGCTGAAGGACATCCAAAAGGAGTGCTTTTTGGACTGTTTTGAAAAGCTCAAAAATCGCTGGAACAAGTGCATTGTGTCTTACAGAGAGTATACTTCGGAGGAGATTAAAGCCACAGTGTCATAGGTATGCTCGATTTCTCAAGATGTAAAAAGTCCTGATACTTTCCGGACAGACCACGTATAGTCATTATACCCTAGATATAATTACCTTGGAGGGTGGATCTGTGGAGGAGCCGGTGCTTAGGTGACATGGTGAGAGGGCTGCCTTCGGAGGAGTTGTCGGCGGTGTAGTCGGTGGCCGTCGCGCTGCGGGGGGAGTCGCGCCCCCNCCCCCCGTGGAGCGGCGACCCCCCCGCCCCCGGCCCCATCTCCACGCGCCGCAGGCTCCGCCTCTCCCGGCTCCTGCTCCGCACCCAGCGAGCCTGAAACACACACACACAATCACAGTTCACGTTACAGCACCCACACACAGTGTACATACAGGGTCATTCAAAAGTCACGCACCACTGGCCATGAGGGGGGTGGCCATTTGAAATTTTTGAGGTTCCCCCCGCCCCTCACCCACCGAGGGGAACAAAAACTAGAAAGTACCTAAAAAAATATCCCCGGTCGCTCAGCGACCATCTCACAGAACAAAATCATGAATCCAAAAAATGCAAAATTGATGTGACCCATACATGTAAAAAGGGCAAAAAAATGAACTTGTTGGAACAAATGGAAATCGAGCGCGCGAAAACATCCGGCAACATCCTCAACACCCAAATTGAGTCGATAGGAACACCTCTGATAATGCCGCGTTCCTTAGCCCCGTGGACAAGAGCCGAGGAAGAAGGATCACGTAATCAATAAATCGATCGCGCCTCGTGCAGTTCACAGTCAATTTTAGTCTACGTGTAGTGTTATTTTTATTTTCCGGTTTTTTTTAACATTTAAAAGTATATCGAAACTCGAACGCGCACAAGGATTATAGTGCTAGTGAAATATATGTGGCCTGAAGATGGAATAAGGTGTTCCAAAATGTACATCGCTACTTGAATAGAAGAATCAATTAAGAAAACCAGGACGAAAAAATAAATCAGGTAATAACCTTTATCAAACCTGGTAAAATGGAAAACTCACATATTTTAAAAATTTCCCCCTTGATTTGAGGAAACACGTCTTAAACTGCAAGTCGATATCATAATTAGAACCCAAGTTGTGGCCAGTGGTGCGTGACTTTGGAATAACCCTGTATAAGGTTCGTGACCAGGGTTGCAATTTTTCATGAAAAATAAAGTCTTGAAATTTCGCGGGAAATATTTCATACAATTTCAGAAATTTATGAAAGAGATTGAAAAATACTAGTTCCTTATCGTGTTTCGCGATATTTAAAAATTGGGACTTTCTTCTATTTTCAGCGAGCTTGGAACATGGTCCGTCAGAGTTCACGTTACAGCACCCACACACAGTATACATACAGGGTCATTCAAAAGTCACGCACCACTGGCCATGAGGGGGATGGCCATTTAAAATTTTTGAGTTGCCCCCCGCCCTCCTCCCCCCGAGGGGATTAAAAACTGGAAAGTACCCTAAAAATTATCCCCCGCAATATGAGGCCATGTCTCCACGGGACGTTTTCATGGGATTTGTCCCAAGTTCGAATCGCAGGAATGAAACTTCTGGGATTTTTCCCAGGTACCGTCTCCACGGGACGGGGCTCATACAGTCCTGCGACTAGTTTGCGCGGGAAGATAAAGTAGTTAAAGTCGAGTATTTAACCGGGATTATAATAATACATGCACTCAATTGACAATAAGACACATTATTTTAACTAAACAAACATGAACAATGTAGTAATGAATAAAATATAGCACAATTCGTTTTCACTTCTTCTTCTTCTTCTCTCAACGGGTCCTAGGGGTACAAGTACCATACTTGGTACTGGGAAAAATATTGATTAACTCAATATTTTTCCCAACTTCGTAGGTGGGATTTTTCCCTGGGACAAATCTCGCGAAACGGCTCGTGGGGACAAGGTCCAGGGTTACATCTGCTTATGTTCCGCAAGGACTGCATCGTTGCAAAGTCAAACCAATAATTTAATATTTTATTGCGCCACCAGGCACCCATGTAAATGCGCCTAGTTGCACCATTAATTAAATTATTTTTTGCACAGTCTGACAACTGTTAGACTCGAAAGCTCCATTTTCATACTGCCGTAAATTCGCACTTTGTCTGGTGGTCCATTTGGGTGAACCTATTCATAGTTTTCTAATAATATCCTTCTAAGTGTAGATTGTTTTTCTTTCTAGTATCCGTGTTTGAAGCAGCAACGTCGGGGAAGACGGATGAAGATATAGCATTGATAACCAGTGTAGCCGTCACATCCCTGTTGAAGGAGGCGGTGAGTTGTGGGGAAGACGGATGAAGATATAGCATTGATAACCAGTGTAGCCGTCACATCCCTGTTGGAGGAGGCGGTGAGTTGTGGGGAAGACGGATGAAGATGTAGCATTGATAACCAGTGTAGCCGTCACATCCCTGTTGAAGGAGGCGGTGAGTTGTTTTCTATGTTACAGAATGTAGGCGATAGCTACAGTAATGACCTATGTGGGAAAACTTTGTTGTGAGAAAATTGCGTTCGAAGTTTTACTCTGTGAATATGACATCGGTTTTTGAGAAACAAGGAATTTTTTTTTACTGGTTTAACGCTTTGAACCCTACTTGAAGGGTAGTCATTCAGAAGTTTATCAAATAATTTAATTATTAATTTGTAACACACTGGTCGTAGCGCTTAATTTACTTCCTAGTCGGGTATGCGGCTAAAATGCTAAAAAATGTGCAAGAATTAAGTTATATCAAAACAGTTTCATTTAATTATAATTTTTGGCCGAAACTTTTCGGCACGTTTTCCATTGTCAGTACCTTTAACGTCAGAGAACTATACATTTTCAATTAACAATAGCAACTTTGGTAGGCACTTTGCTGACTAGGCAGGATTGTAAAAATTGCTTAGATGGCACACGGATTAACCTTATAGTTTAACTAGCCGCTGTGGCTCGCTTCGCTCGTCTTGCGTCTAGTCGGGGGCTCCACCTCCTGGACCCCCGGGTGACAAGCGAGCAGTATTTCATGCCGAAAGTGCAAACAAATTATAAAATAATGTAATCCAATAAAAACTCTATTCTGAATGCATGAATTCGAGAGGCATTCCTCCATAAAATCCTGTGAATACAGATGCACAATAGTATCGCCGTCTGTCAGACACTCAAAAATCGCAAATGTTCCGTAAAATGGAGAGAAAAATTGAACAAATTTTGCTACTTCGTAAGTGGGATTTTTCCCTGGGACAAATCTCGTGAAACGGCTCGTGGAGACAATGCTGAGGAAAAGCGTCTTTAACCGCAAGTCGATATCATAATTGAATCAGTGAGAGGGAAAACACGCCAACTCGGAAAAATGGAAGTAATCAAGACACAAACATAACTGCACAGTAGGTGAAGAAATTTGTCTAAGAAAAGGATGTTTGGTGCCGAAAGACAGGCACTTACGAACATTTTAAAGGTCCAAGTTTGAACAGATGCGCTGACTTCAATGACTTTTATAAAAATTGACCGCCTTTAATGAAAGTTGCGCATTTTCGAGTTACTTACGAACATTTTAAAGGTCCAAGTTTGAACAGATGCGCTGACTTCAATGACTTTTATAAAAATTTACCGCCTTTAATGAAAGTTGCGCATTTTCGAGTTATCAAGTTGGTGTGTTTTCGAACTCACTGATTCAAAGAGAACTTAAAGTTATGGCCAGTGATGCGTGACTTTCGAATAACCCTGTATAGGGTTCGTGATCAGGGTTGCAATTTTTCATGAAAAATAAAATCTTGAAATTTCGCGTGAGATATTTCATAAAATTTCAGAAATTTATGATAGAGATTGAAAAATACTAGTTCCTTATCATGTTTCGCGATATTTAAAAATTGTGACTTTCTTCTATTTTCGTGTGTTTTAATGCGAGTTGCATACTCCAGTCCCTGAAAAATATGGAATAATTCACAGTCTCGTGAGATGTCATGAAATATTTCACGGAAATTTCCAATCTTTTATATTTTTCATTTCACGCGTGCAACCCTGTTCGTGACATCTTTCAAAATCCAAAGAGACTAGTGCACAAGGTCTGAGATCGCCCATCGAATTCCACGGTTTTTTCTCCTTGAAATTTCATCCTTGAAAATCCATCTTATTTTTCATAAACTTTTCCATCTCAGAACGAGGTGCGCGACTTTAAGCAGTCTGATACACAAGCTGTAAGACAAGTGCTTTGTTAATAGGTTTTTTTAAACCAATTTTAACGTCTTTAATATTTCATACTTATTTCGGCGCATTTGCGACCAACAAACCCAGAAGGCGGGTTAGAATTTATCAATTCTAAAATAGTCATCGTTACGAGGAAGTTGAAACATTTCAAGAGAAGGATAAAGGGTACAAAGGTGGGGTTTTTCTTCTCGGATCTCGGCCGCCAACACGTAGGTCTCAGGTTTCTTCAAAAATTCTTCGATGTTTGATCTGTTCAATTTTTAATATTTCCGACTGAAAATTACTCAGTTTCGAGTCAAAACGTCTCGGATTTGTAGTGTGGTATTTTCGGCCTCCGGCTGCGTCGTAGAAATGTGTGCCTACACAGGGACATGGTGATAAGAGAAGGATGAAACACATTAACCCGAATGCACACAACGATAAAGACACATTAAATACAAAACAAGTTGGCACAGATTCCTTCCCAGGCCTGCAGCCTGATTGTTGAAATTTTTGGTTTGTCGGGACGACATAGATGACATAGGTTAAAAGGCGGAGCGTGATTGGTCGGCTATGTCTCATCGCTGCTTTGTCGTGCTTTTTTCAGGTGGAATGGACGACATAATGTCGGAAACTGAAGAGGTGCCGTTAGCTTGTCGTGAGATCAAGCCGACATAGGCACGACAAAGCAGTGATAAGACAGCCGACCAATCACGCTCCGCCTTTTAACCTATGTCATCTATGTCGTCCCGACAAACAAATAATTTCAACAATCAGGCTGCAGTTGCTTTCTCATTTTCTCGTTTTCATTTTCAAAGTTTTAGCTTTTGTTTCAGTTGAGGATGGGCATGTAATTCGTCCAAAATGTCCTGGTAGTGGTCATTCTATTTTCTTAGCCTTGTAAAACCTTATGTTCAGAATTTAATGTGTTTTTAACGTTCAAAGGTTTTTACACTATATGAACGTCCCGAGTTCAGTGTTCGAAACTCACAGGCGCCAACGCGCCAAATGCGCCTTAAAAATGAATGCTCAGCGCCAACGTGGCCCCTAAAAATTGCCCCATAAATATCTTGATTTTCACAGGAAGTCACATAAAGAAAGAAAAACAAATCTGTTTGAATTGAAAAAACTCAGAATTTTCAGCACTTCAAGTAAAAGCTTGCTTTTTCTATTCTTCACGATTTCATTCCCGGTGCTTTCGTCTTTCTCAAGTTACAGCTACTTACTACTTCTGATACGAAAACATCTTCCGTCAGATTTTTGCACTAAAGGAGCCGCATTATGAATGAAAAAAGTCAATTTGGCCCCTAGAAAAACTTCGATGGCGCCTAAAAATCGGGCTTGATGCGCCACATGGCTCCTAAAACTCAAAGGTGAGTTTCGAACACTGATTCTGATAACATATTTCCAATCCAGAATTTTCCGTTTTGTACATGGTGTCCAGTTTTCTTGGCAAAGCTCATTCCCTGATTTTTCCCTGATTTTCAGGAGCTCATTCCCTGATGAGAAACCGAAGTTTTCTTCAACTTTCCTGGGATTTTCTTGGGGAAAAGAATACACTTTTCCAGAGTTTCAGAAATGCATATCGATTTTAATTCATCTTACAGCCATTTCTTTGGCGCACGTCAGATTAGACCGCCAAATGGACGTATTTCTACCAAACAGACCTATGTGCAAGTGATAAATATGGGGTGTGCTCGGTAGTTCTCTTTGCGAATGAGTGAATGAGAATAATAAAGCGCCAGTGACGTCAGCGGCAATTCGAGTCGCGGCTCGACGGGGGATCTCGTTATTGGAGGGAGTCTTTAACTCATGAGCCCTGTCCACAACGCTCTCTTGCCATACCCGCGGCTCATGAGTTCCGCATTCAGTTGGCACATAGGTCTGTTGGATAGAATGTAATATCCCGCTTTTCCAATTCTACAAAAGGAATCACGCCCACTTTTACATTGCTTCTTATGCAGCTTTCTAGAGCACACCCCATATTTCTCACCTCTACATAGGTCTGTTTGGTAAAAATACGTCCAAATGTGAGAACGAAATGATTCCTGGGTGGTTGGAGAAGAGATTCCCGGTTTCTGGAACAGATTCCCTGATTTTCCCGGTAAATTTTCATTCCCTAATGAATCCCGGTTTTTAAGGAACTAGACACCATGGTTTTATATCAACGTGGACTCCTTGGGACCTTCCTAGATTTCAAGAGAGACACGTCTTTAAAAATGTGAAACTCAAACCTTCAAGGAGGTGAAGAAGGAGTGTGTCTTCTGGATGACGGAGAGGTGATGGGCTGCGGAGGGGGTGCTGCGCTCTCGCTCGGCGGCGCGGGCCGTCTCCAGGCGGACGTCCCCGCGGTGGCTCAGCTCCGAGGCCGACTTGGAGAGGTGCCGCCCCATCAGCGAGGGGCTCTCCTTGATTCGACATCTTAGACCTGCACAGATCAACAAACGGCCCCGTTTAGGTTATCCCACAAGTCCAACATACAAACTAGAAAAAAATTCTCGGCGTTTCTACCAAGGTCCGTTGGTACCTATACCATCTCACTTTATTTTGCCGATTATTGGTAATTTTACCAAGGCAGACTGGTAAGCTTACCTAAAAACCGGTATTTTCACTGTTTCAAATTTTCAGGAACTTTAGATCAAAATACAAACAAGATTTTCTGAAAACTTGAAAGAAAAATATTCAAGAGTTGACAAGGGAATTCGTGTTTTATCAAAGACAATTTGGAAACGCCTGAAGGTTCATACGGCGTTTTTCTTTAGCACGACCGTCTAGTGGTCCAGTGTAGGATGACAGCGAGATAGTGCACTGAAAAAAAAATCACGGTGTATTTACTGAGAGAAGGGTAAAATAACCAAGAATTCAGGGTTGTATTTGATCCCAGTTTTTTCTTGAGAAAATTACCATTTATGGAATTTGTAATTCACCGAGAAATCTTCGTGAATTTATTGAACTTTTTCGGTAATTTTACTGGACCTTGGTAAAAACGCCAATATTTATTATCGACTGTGGTAGAGTTACCGAAATAAAATGGCAAAGTTATTAGAGTTTAGAATGGCTCATACGGCGTTTTTCCTGAGCATGGCAGAATACATTTGAGTTTAAAAAGGCTCATACGGCGTTTTTCCTGAGCATGGCCTCAGAATACACTTGAGTTTAGAAAGGCTCATACGGCGTTTTTCCTGAGCATGGCAGAAAACACTTGAGTTTAAAAAGGCTCATACGGCGTTTTTCCTGAGCATGGTCTCAGAATACACTTGAGTTTAGAAAGGCTCATACGGCGTTTTTCCTGAGCATGGCAGAATACACTTGAGTTTAAAAAGGCTCATACGGCGTTTTTCCTGAGCATGGCCTCAGAATACACTTGAGTTTAGAAAGGCTCATACGGCGTTTTTCCTGAGCATGGCAGAAAACACTTGAGTTTAAAAAGGCTCATACGGCGTTTTTCCTGAGCATGGTCTCAGAATACACTTGAGTTTAGAAAGGCTCATACGGCGTTTTTCCTGAGCATGGCAGAATACACTTGAGTTTATAAAGGAGTACACTGAGGAATCCGGCACGTACCGTCTTGACGGGCAGGGTGTCGACCAGGATGGCAAAATGTTATGAAAAATAAAATGTTGAAATTTCACGTGAAATATTTCGTGTAAATTCGGAGATTTTTTAAAGATATTCAGAATTACCGGTTCCTCTTCATGTTTCGCAAAATAACAGAGTAGTGAATTTCTTCTTGAATGGTGTGTTAAGTGCGGGTTACGAAGTCGAGTCCCTCGAAAATTGAAAATATATCACTGAAATTTCCGATCTTTCATTTCTTGCCCCTTACGTTTCATGCCACCCTGGTCTGGTGTCGACTGCTGCCGCGACTCGCCGAAAGCTGCGGTGAGAATTAAAGAAAAATCTTGTAATAGAATGGGGCCATATCACTTACGTTTTAGGGCCACATTCCATTATGCTTTCTGGCTCATTCGGGCCGAAAGCCATCGATTTCGCAAGTGCAGGCTCAGGCGAGCATTTGGATGTTTATTGTATCCGTCTCGGAGCGCCGATTTATCTCGCAATCACGTCTTCGACGTCATCGCTCGATCGGCTGCTACGAGATGTATGTTCTCGAGATTCGCGGCGGATTCATTCGTATCTTCGAGGCAGCGAGTATAGGAGCATCTAGCCAGTGCATCTTGTGTATACCGTTGTATTTTGTATCGAGATATAGATCAGCTCTACCGTTTGACTACGAGCGTTGGATTATTTCATCCCCCCCATTACAATATAGTGGCATCAAAAAATTACAATCTATCGACGACTATCTTGACAGTTTTGTGAAGATAGCAATTGGGACGAAATCAATAAATAAAGTTGACACTGTTTTAAGAGAATATCGAGTTGAATTACGAAAATGTAATACTAATTGCCCTGTGATGCTTCTCCCAGAGCGTTTGGGGCATAAAGTTTCGAGAAATGGAAAAACAGCAACGCTTCTGATCTTGTGTGTTCAAAATCTGGAATAGCGCCTCTAACGTACACAACAATACCACGATTAGAGCTGCGTGGTACTGTGCTACTAGCACAATCGATTGCAAAAGTTCGGGAAACTTTAAACGTAAAAGTCTTTAACTTAAAGGATAAAATATTCTGTTGGTCTGATTCAGTAATTGTACTCTCATGGGTTGCATCCTCAATTGAAAATAAAGACAAATATGATGCAAAAAGAATTACTGAAATTCATTCATTATCAAAAATGCGGGATTGGCACTGCGTCCCGTCAGCAAAAAATCCAGCAGATGTGTTAACAAAGGGAAAACCTCCCACTGGGGAAAAAACTTCCTATTGGCTGATCCTGTAGTTCAACCTGCTACTCCTACGACGTCTAGCGAATCGGTTAAACGTAACGTCCACCTGTGGAGGAGGTTACTGCACCCCAGCCTGCGAGGAGAGGTAAGGTATAGTCGTGCTCCGAGACACTGTTCGAGCCACCCATCCGCTCCAGGCTACGATAGGAATGCGCGAATTGAGGGGATTAGGTACCTTTTAAGCGTGCCAGTAGGGCTCGCTTTTTGAAATCACTCGGATGTACCATAGTACAGCACACAGATCAACCAATGCTATTCAACGGGTCGTCCAAATACTTTTTTCCTCGCACCCGTTTCTTTGTCTTTGAACCATTACACTGTCAAGCCCTGATGGTCTTTTACCAAATAATCTAATGAACTGCTAATTGGAAACCCTTGAGAACATTTTTCTGTCAAAACCGTATTATTCAATTTGACAGAAACCTCATAGGAGCTCTCTTACGCTCGGAGGACTCAACTCTAGAACCTTCTTTCCCGCCAAAACTCTATAGCCAATGAGCGTCTTGCACTGTAAGTGCAATCTGTGATGAGCCTCGTGACTCATTATACTATGTACTAACCATGGCCCCTGCCGAAATCCACTAAAACCACTACAGTTATCTCGCGATATAGCTTTGGGTGTCCGGTTTCGAGCAAGGCAATAAAAGACGGCGAGGCGATTAACCGATTAACCATTCACCGTGATGCCAGGATCCACCAAATTTTCTCAAAAATTGTTTTCCGTCTATTTAGCGAGTTTTTCCTTACTTTCCGTTAAAGTACAAATAAAAAGAGACCTCATTTGTACAAATCGGCCGAATAGGAGAGAAGTTACAGTTCGAAATCCAAAGAGATTAACTGAACGCGATTTCGATGCACGGCAGTTCGCCCGAATCACGGTCGTGCGCAAATGCCGCATATCAGCTTAAAATCAAGATAATTGGACGGAATCTTTAAAATTAATTTACATTCAACGTTCATGAATCAATATTTTCTCCCAAATTTAGCAAAAAGTACCAATTGATGCAAAAAGCAAAGACGTGAAAATAAGAGGTATTTGTTCAACATTTCAGTTATTCGGCACGCTTTTCCAACATACTCATGTTGGATTTTTTCTTCTTGTTTTTTTTTAGAAGGATTGCGCGAACGACACAGAGACCGATCGGTCATCAATATTTGACTCCAATCGTGGAAGGCGCTATTGATACAACTATTTCACCACGGGGGATGTCCACACTGCAGCTTGCTAGATTGAAGGCGTTCTGCACTGTGGTGACGGCTCGGTCTCACCGCGCCTACGCGGTGCTGGCAGCGGAACAAAACTAGAACATCGCTTCGACACAGGCCCGCCACATCCCATCTCGGGCCCTGGTACCAATTTTCTGGCCCGGGCCCCTAGCACAGGGGAGGGGGGGGATTTTTGAAATTTTAAATCTATTTGGACGCATTATGAAGCTCTTATGATGGAGATTTTCCATCAATTTCTGCAGAATAATTACGCCTTTTTGTTTACTTTCAGCACCAAAAATTTTCGAATTGTTGCATTCAAAACATCTATAAATTTTTTTTTGAGGGGGCAGATGATAATTTTCAATTCTATGGGGAGCCGGGCCCCCCTGGACTCCCCTTTCGTACGTCTATGGCAAGGGAGTTAAGCCATTGAAGTCGAGGATGCCCAGAAAGGAGCCTCTTAGCATCCGACAACGGAAGAAAATGAAACACAGTTACTAAACATATCATTCTACATATACTCAAAATCTTGAAAATCTCTAAAAAAGTAAGGAAAATTGTATAGTGCCCTAGCGTGTTTTTGAAACTTTATTCACCTTTTGCGGAATTTTTAGGGTAATTTTTTCACTTTTCCCTACGAGTACGAGACAAGGGTTACACATGAATTCGTAGTGGTTTGTCACCTGCGTCACGGGCCCCTCCAGGGCCCGGGCCCCGGTACCAAGGACCCAGTATCCCCCCCCCTTGTGGCGGGCCTGCTTCGACATTCTCCACCTGCTTTCTGTTTCTATCATAGTTTACCGACAATAATGAGTCATACTTGCAAAATTTTGAATCATCGCTGATGCTTTTTTTTTTTGGCAAGGATTGCGCGAATGGCAAAGACGGTATTTCTGTTAATTTTATTCATGTGGCGTCAACGCAGCAGACTCGCCCGAATATTTGAATCTCTCTTATCAGGAGCTCTTTTTTACTGTACATTCCTTATTGGCATCATTGTATTTCAGTCTGTGAGCCACGTATTTAAGTGTTTCAAAAAAAATTAAAAAAGGAAAAAGAAAAAAGAATACGAGGTCTGTTAGATTAGAAACCGGATTTTGGTCATAACTAGCTCACAATGCATCCGAATTAGGTTTTCTTGAGCTTTCCTGATAGCTGGAAATATACTTAAGAACGCTACGTTCACAGATTTTGTTTATTTTGATCAGTGTTTATTCTGTGTCATCTTGAATACGAGTAGGTCAGGTGCGTTTTGCGATTTTCAGCATGCGATCACTGATAGAGCAAAGACTCAACATTTAATTTTGTTTTAAACTCGGTATACTCTGTACCGAAACTTTTGGTATGCTAAGTAAAGTTCACCAAGATC